AGAGAGAGATATCTTCCATCTGCTGGTTCACTCCCCAAGTGGCCGCAGTGGCTGGAGTTGCGCCAATCTGGAGCCAGGCGCCTCCTCCGGGTCTCTCATGTGGGTGCAGGGACCCAAGAACTTGGGCCATCTTCTGCAGCTTTCTTAGGCTTTAGTAGAGAGCTGGATTGGAAATGGAGTAGCCTGGACTTGAATTTGTGCCCATATGGGATGCCAGCATGGCAGGCGATAGCTTTACGCTCTACGCCATAGCACTGGCCACCTGATAGTTTCTTTTGTTTGTTTTTTTGTTTTTTGTTTTTGACAGACAAAGTTAGACAGTGAGAGAGAGAGAGAGACAGAGAGAAAGGTCTTCCTTCCGTTGGTTCACCCCCCAAATGGCTGCTGTGCTGATCCAATGGCAGGAGCCAGGTGCTTCTCCTGGTCTCGCATGCAGGTACAGGGCCCAAGCACTTGGGCCATCCTCCACTGCACTCCCGGGCCACAGCAGAGAGCTGGACTGGAAGAGGAGAAACCGGGACAGTACTGGCACCCCAACGGGGACTAGAACCCGGAGTACCGGCACCCCAGGCAGAGGATTAGCCTAGTGAGCCATGGTGCCGGCCCCCCTGATAGTTTCTTTTTATCTTCTTTTTACTGTTTGTCTCTCCCCCTCTTGAAGGCCTATAAATGAAATATTTACTCTTTGGATGTTCTATACATACTTTAAGTTTTCATTATTCTTTTTTCATTTTTCTCCTGTTAATGAATATTTTCAAATACCTTTTTTTAAGATCTGAGATTCTCCTGCTTCATTAGTTCTGCTGGTGATACTTTTTATTCCTTTTTTTTTTAAACTTTGAAAGTTAAAGAAGTTTGGGGGTTGGCGCTGTGATGTAGCGGGTAAAGCCACCGCCTGCAGTGCCAGCATCGCATATGGATGCCGGTTCGAGTCCTGGCCGCTCCAGTTCCTATCCAGCTCTCTGCTATGGCCTGGGAAAGCAGTGGAAGATGGCTCAATTCCTTGGGCCCCTGCATCCATGTGGGAGACCCAGAGGAAGCTCCTGACTCCTGGCTTTGGATCGTCACAGCTCCGGCCGTTGCAGCCAACTGGGGAGTGAACCAGCGGATGGAAGACCTCTCTCAGGAGACAGGAGCTTCTTCTGGGTCTCCCACATGGCGGCAGGGGCCCAAGGACTTGGGCCATCTGCTGCTGCTTTCTGAGAGCTGGATAGGAAGTGGAGTATCCACGACTTGAACTGGCACCCATGTGGGATGCCAGCACTTCAGGCAGTGACTTTATCCGCTATTCCATAGCGCCAGCCCCCTGATACAACTTTTAACACACAATTCTCAGTAAGTGGCAGTCCATCTTAGTAATATCCATGTTGTAGATTTTACTGTTTTTTGTGGTTTTTACATATATGAAGCTACATCAAAAAGTTCATTAAAATTTAAAAATGTTTATTTTGCTGTAAAAAATTAGAAATCTGTGCATAGTTTTTTATGAGACTGTCTATGTATTGATCTGTTTGTTTATTTGAGAGGCAGAACAGCAGAGTAGGGGAAGAGTCAGAATCTTCCATTTGTTGGTTCATTCCCTAAATGGCCACAACAGTCAGATCTGAGCCAGGCTGAAGCCAAGAGCCAGGAACTCCATTCTGGTCTCCACCATGGGTGTCTGAGGCCCAAGTACTTGGACCATCTTCTGCTGCTTTCCCAGGTGCGTTAGTATGAAGCTGGACTGGAAGCAGAGTAGCCAGTACTTGATCCCTCAGTACTTGATGGGATGCAGGTGTCACAAACCATGGCTTAATCCACTGAACCACAAATTCCAGCCCTGTGTGTAGTTTTCATAATGCATATTTTCCTTAAAGCTTTTGAGGACTCATGTGTAAATAGATTTCACAGTTTTTTTCCACACAAAAATGAATATTTTGAAGTGTCCATATACACAGAGAGAGTTAGAGAGCATGGGTGTATGCACTAACATATGGTGTTCAGTGACTGAAAATTAACACTTGTTGATTAATGATTGATGTCAACATAAATTTAAGTAGCCCTATATAAGAAAGATATCACCACTATGCATGTTACCCTGATGTGTTCTGCAAATTATAGAAGAACACGTTCAAGCATATTTCTCTGAGTTTTGAAGGATGGGAATTATCAGATTGTGTCATGGGTAGATACTGTTGGTAATTTTCAGAGAATCTGCTTTAGGTACTCCCTCCCCCTGGCCCTTGCACAAAGGTCTGGGCCGTTATAATATCACTGTTAGTTCATTTCTGAGATGTTAGAAAGGACCAGAGAGGGCAGTTCTATAAGTGAGCTCCTTCATGTGTCTGCTTTTGGAAGTAGTACTGCATAATGTAATTTCTGGGTCAATGTTTTTCAGGGCTTAACTCTTTTTTTTTTTTTTAAATTATTTATTTTATTTATTTATTTTTTGACAGGCAGAGTGGACAGTGAGAGAGAGAGACAGACAGAAAGGTCTTCCTTTGCTGTTGGTTCACCCTCCAATGGCTGCCGCGGCCGGTGCACCGCGCTGATCCGAAGGCAGGAGCCAGGTGCTTCTCCTGGTCTCCCATGGGGTGCAGGGCCCAAGCACTTGGGCCATCCTCCACTGCACTCCCTGGCCACAGCAGAGAGCTGGCCTGGAAGAGGGGCAACCGGGACAGAATCCGGCGCCCTGACCGGGACTAGAACCCGGCGTGCCTGCGCCGCAAGGCGGAGGATTAGCCTTGTGAGCTGCGGCGCCAGCCCAGGGCTTAACTCTTATTATCTGTAAATTGGGGCTGTTATATTTTCCTAATGGACATTGTGCTTGCAAACCCCCCCCCCTTTGTTTTTTTAGCTCTGATTGACATAAAACTACAGTAGTGTTGTATCTTTATAGTATGTTTGTGAGTTTCTGTGAATGTGTTGGATTAATTGATAATTTCAAACCAGGGTGGGATGCCTTCTAGGCATGTTAATATGGGATTATAGCCAGTTTTGGGTTCTCATGCCTTTTTGTCTGCCCTAGGATATTTGCCTTCTAGGGTTCTAATCTGTGTTCATGAAGAAAAGTCAGAGGTATAACCACATGATTGACTGCCTGGTAAATTATCAGATAGGAAGAATGTGTACCTTTCTACGAGCGGATATATTTGCATCTACTAGGTATACACGACTCTTTCTAGGCAAAGTTGTCTTCAGAGCTTTGTAAAGCAAATAAAGCCTCATTTAAGAACTGAGAGAGACCCTAGTTGAATTTCTCTATGAAGTGAAGCATCGCATATTGGTGAAAGAATGCCTTGGGGCCGGTGCTGTGTTGTAGTGGGTAAAGCTGCCGCCTGCAGTGCCAGTATCCCCTATGGGCGCCAGTAGGAGTCTTGGCTGCTCCACTTTTGATCCAGCTCGCTGCTATGGCCTGGGAAAGAAGTAGAAGATGGCCCAAGTTCTTGGGCCCCTGCTGCCTCGTGGGAGACCCAGCAGAATTCCTGGCTCCAGGCTTTGGATTGGCGCAGCTCCAGCCATTGTGGCCATCTGAGGAGTGAACCAGCAGATGAAAGATCTCTCTCTCTCTCTCTCTCTCTCTCTTTCTCTGCCTCTCTCTGCCTCTCTGTAACTCTGCCTTTCAAATACGTAAAAAAATCTTAAAAAAAAAAAAAAATGGATGAGTGCTTCCCAGCTCCTCCTTTGAAAAAAGAAAGAATGCCTTGACCACCATCTTTATTCTTTACCCTCATTGTTTTGTATCCATTTTTCTGAGTGTGTGATTTACTTATTTGAGAGTTGGAAACAAGCAGACAACAAGAGCTCACATCTGCTGGTTCACTCCCTAAATGTCCACAGTAGCCAGGGCTGGGCCAGGCTGAAGTAGGAGCTGAGAACTCTATTCACATCTCCCATAGGGGTGATAGGAGTCCAACCACTCGAGCCATCATCACCTGCAGCCCACTAGGGTGCATTAGTAGGAAGTTGGAATCTGGAATGGAGCAGGACTCTTACCTAGGCATTCTGATTATGATGCAGTTGTCACAACCAGTGTCTTAATTGCTAGGCTTGCCTGAGAAGTTTAATTTGATAGAGGGTAGTAAGACAAGAAAGACCTCCATTTCTGGTTGTGGTGACACAGTTCATATTTGAGATATGCCGTTAAAGCCGTATGACTGGAGTTAAGAAATAGTGAATGTGTATGGTTACAGAGAAGAATCCCTAGGGCCCTTGAACCCTGGCTTAGGCAGTAAGAAAATCTACCTTTCTATATAGGCATGGTGTCGTCTGTCCTCATTTTCCTGTGCATGTGGTAGAGGTGTTACACTGCTCAAGCTGTGTATACGTGATTTAGGACTCTGTGACCTTTAATGATGTGGTTATGAAAATAACCCAGGAAGAGCTGCCTTTATTGGAATCAGATCAGAGAAATACATACAAAGATATGATGCTGGAGAACTGTGAAAGCCTGGCTACAGCTGGTAAGACTACCATCATGCCTTTCAGCATCTTAGGGAACAGATTATTTATAAATAGCATTATTTATTTACTCTGTCCTAGGATTTATAATTTGTATTTCCAAATACTAGTTCATTTCCCAGATGCCTGCAATGGCCAGGGCTGGTCCAGGCTGAAGCTGGGAGCTGGGAACTTCATCTGCGTCTCCCACAGGAACACTTTGACCATCTTTCACTGCTTTCCCATTCCATTAGCAGGGAGCAGGATCCGAAGTGGAGCAGCCAGGACATGAACTGTGGCCATGTGGGATGTCATTGTCACAGGTGGCAGCTTTACTCACTGTGCCACAACACTGGCCTCAGTTTTAATTTTCAGTGAATAAATTTATAACAAATTATCCAAATTTTTGATCTCTGATCCTTAAGATGACCAAATTTTTGACAAAATCTAAATCTTCAGTATTTTATTTCTTTTTTACCATGTTTATTTTGAAAACAAATATGAAGAGACTTACTATTTTTAACACCTTTAATCTGTTTTTTTTTTTTCCAAACTTAAGTTTGTTTTGTGTTTAATTTCAGAATGGGAAATGCAGCTGCAAACTCAAGGTTCAGCACTTGAGCAGAATTTGTTGGAAGAGTATTCCTCTGATGGGTTAGAAATGGTAAGGTCAACATGGGATATTTCTTATTTTCCATATTCAGAGGAGACTTGGTATTCTGATATAGATAATCAGCATATGTCTTTCATACATCCAGTATTGTATGCCACATTTTACCCCTGTCATCACTGCTAAACTGTGCTTTCTGTAAAGGCAGGAACTGCATCATAATTATTTATATCTGCATTACTTGCAATATAATTAATAATTAATTATATTTAATTATTATAATTAACGAGTGCTCAGTAAAGGGATGAAATGGAAAAAAAGGGAAAATCCACATATGTAAAAGAAAATGAAATCCTGTCTTTTGCAACAAGATGGACGCAATTAAAAACCATTATACTTAGTGAAATAAGCCAGTCCCCAAAGGGCAGATATCATGTGTTTTCCTTGATCTGAGGTGACTAATACAGTACCCTAAGTGTGATATATTGGAGTGAAATGGACATTTCGAGATTCAGTGATTGTTTACAGCCCTTGTTTTCTGTTGAACAGTGCTTTTGTTTTTGTTTTGTTTTTTTCTCTTCATACTATTTGAACTCTTTTACTTAGTGTAGGGTTAACTTTATGATCACTAAGTAAATTGAAAGTAGATCTCTATAAAAATTAAGAGTGGGAATGAGAGAGGGAGGAAGAAGACAAGTTGGAGCATGGGTGGGATATATCACTGTTCCTAGATCTGTATATATGAAATACATGAAACTTGTGTAATTTAAATAAAACTTAAAAAAAAAAATGAAAAATTTAAAAAACAGAAAATAAGCATGGAAGAAAGATACTTGAGAGAAATAGATTCACATAGGAGAGAGCAATGTGTCTGAACACATAATCTGATCATGATGGATTTAGGTATATTCAGACTTAGTGTGAAATTTATGTTCTTCCAAAAAATGGCATAATTGGATCAATTAGGAGGACATATTTCCTTGTAGCTATACTTGTCTTCTTTGCTCCCTAGAACAAATACTGACTTAGAATCCATGCCAAGACTGAGTCCCTGATTAAATTTCCCCAGAATATCTTGCTTCTTACAGTTTAGAACAGTGAGACAAGACGAGCTCCCAGACTAGTCATTGTGAGATAAGGTCACATATAAGAAGTGCCATTGAAGCCTTAGCATTAGAGATGATTGGCTTATTTATTTGAATTGTGTATATTGAATGTGTGTGAAAAGAAGCTTTCTTAGGACTGTTGAATCCTGGGGTAGATAATGAGAGACCTTAGAACCCTTATATGCATTGGTCTCACTTGCTCATTGTGTAGTTAACATTGATGGAGATGTTACTTGTCTCAAACCAGTGTGTTTATGATGGTTTAGGACTTGGTAACCTTTGATGATGTGGCTGTGGACTTCACCCATGAGGAGTGGACTTTATTAGACTCAACTCAGAGAAACCTCTATAGAGATGTGATGGTGGAGAACTACAAAAACCTGGCCATAGTTGGTAAAACTGTTTTCATTCCTCATAGTCTCTTTGGGAACAGAAATACATTATATACTTACTGTGTTTTGAAGATTGATGATGTCAACTCTGAGTATAATGGGAAATAGCAGAGACCTAGGTCTTGTGTTAATACAATTTAATCTTTGGTGATACTTTTCCACCTGATTTGGTCTCAGGATCAAATGGCATGATTGAATTAAAAATGTACATTGTGAGACTCCACCTTTGACACACTGAATCAGAAGACCTCTAGTTGCACCTCTGTCATCTATGTCTCATCAGTTCCTCCACATGAATCTGATTCACAGTAAAGATGACAACCACTCGGGCCAGTATTGTGATGCAGCAGCTTAGGCCACTGCCTGTGACGCCGGCATCCCGTGTCCTGACTACTTTGCTTCCAGTGCAGCTCCCTGCTAATGCACTTGGGATAGCAGTGGAAGATGGCCCAAGTACTTGGTCCCTGTTACCCACATGGGAGACCTGGATGGAGTTCCATTCTCCTGGCTTCAGCCTGGTGCGGCACTGGCTGTTGCAGCCTTCTGAGGAGTGAACCAGTGAATGGAAGATCTCTCTCTCTCTCTGTATAACATTGTGCCTTTCAAGTTAAAAAATAAATAAATAAATAAAAAAACCAAACTCCAATGCTGTTAGAGTTTCCTGTGAGAATATCTTTCTCTGATTCCATTATTCCTACTTGAAGAAAAGTCTTAGTAGTTTTTAAATATCTATTTAAACCTGAATATGGACTTCAGGCATTAAACATGGCCAGTGTCTGTGGGATACTGAAAGAAGTGATATTTGCATTTTGAGATCCTTAAATGTAATTAATGCTTTCCTAAGAAATAGTTATTTTTTCATGAGGAGCTTTGTCATACCTTGCGTGAGCCTCTTCCACTGAGGTGCCTTTTCCTGTGTACAGGATATCAGCTGTTCAAACCCAGCCTTATTTCTTGGTTGGAAGAGGAAGTGGAACAATGTGTTCATCAAGGTAAGAGTTTATGAAAAACATTTTTGGTCATTGAGAAGTTCAGTGTGTTTGGAAGCATGAGGCAACTTAAAAAAAAAAAAAAAAAAAGGAAAAGCATTTGGGATCTGGGATCTGAAGGCTGAGGCCATTAGCCAGTGAGTTTTGGGATATCTTTGACTTCTCATAGTCTATTACTTGATCTAGACTTTCCTGTGATCTCACAATCTGCTCTTTACTTCTTTGAGTTATGGTTTTCTTTGTGCAGATATTTCCTGCTTTTCTTCCCTCATAATACTATTTCTGTTACTGTCATGTTTAATTTTCTAGGAAAAAAGCAGTTACTTAATTTCTAAAGTTTGCCCCAACCCCTTAACATTGCTGAATTTTAGACATGGCCTTCTTGGACTTCTCAAATCTGTCTTTTATTTTCTTATGTTTAATATGAATTATATAAATGAGCTTTTAACATTTTAACTTATTTAACCTTTTACTTTATACAAACCCTTATATATGTTTTTTGTTTCACTTCAGAGTGGGTAATGGACCTTAATACCAAAGGGACAGCTCTTCAGGATATTTTTTGGTCAGATACTTCAAATGAGATACAACTGGTAAGATTAGTTTCTAAATTCAGATAAGATTGGGATTTCCATGATAGAAATCAGTAGAAATGTGAGATGCTTGCAAGAAGTAGCTTTCGCCCAAGAGGGAGCAATGTCTGTGGAGAGAAACCCCAAACCTGGGGTGAGCTTAGTGCTCCTGCATTCTTACTAGTATTCCCTTAAATCTGAAAAAGCCTTTAAACACCATTCATTTCTTTATCAACAGGCAAGAAGTCGCAACGGAGGGGAACTCCATGAATATAACCAGTGTAGCAAAGCCTCCAGTGATGACTTTGAGCTACACACAGATACTCAAAATACAGAGAATACTTCTGAATCTAATCAGTATGGAAAAGACTTTCTTCTGCCCAGGACAGTCTCCATAGGAGACACACTTTCAGAATTAATTCAATGTGAAAAATCCTTCAGCCTGACTGCAGATGTCCAACAGAGAGAATGCCCGCAAGACAGAGTCTTTCGGAACAGTGGCTACAGCCAAACCAATGTCAGTCAGTCATACCTTCAGACTCTCGGAAGAAACCACAGTGAAGGAAAACTCTCCAATTGGGAACGATATGGGAAAACTTCTACTCAGCCCATAAGCCACGTTGTACACATTCAAACACACATTGTAAGAAAACCCTACAAAAATAAGGAATGTGGAAAATTATTCACATATCCTTTGTATAGTAATAATATGCAAAATCATACTAGAGAGAAATCCTGTGATTGGAAGGAAGATGGGAAAGCTTTCACTGTGCCCTCAGGTCAAACTGTGCATATTCAAAATCAAGCTGGGGAGAAGTCGTATGAATGCAAGGAATGTGGGAAAGCCTTTGGGAAGTCCTCAGGCCTCGCTGAACATATGAGAAGTCACACAGGTGAGAAGCCCTTTCAGTGTGATGAGTGTGGGAAGGCCTTTGCCTCTTCCTCCTATCTCACTGCACATTTGAGAACTCACACTGGAGAGAAGCCCTTTGAGTGTAAGATGTGTGGGAAAGGATTCACGCGTTCCTCCTACCTTCGCATTCACACGCGAACTCACACCGGAGAAAAACCCTATCAGTGTAAAGAGTGTGGGAAAGCGTTCACCGTGCGCTCCGGCCTTAATATACACTTACGAACACACACTGGAGAGAAGCCCTATGAATGTAAGGAATGTGGAAAGGCCTTCACGAGTTTCGTCAACTCGCTGAACATATGAAAACTCACACTGGTGAGAAGCCTTTTGTATGTGATGTATGCACAAAATCCTTTAGGAATTCCTCATGCCTTAAGAAACATTTTCGAATTCATACTGGAGTTAAGCCCTATCAATGTAAGGAGTGTGGGAAAGCCTTCGCTGGACGAACGGGCTTTACTACACATGTGCTCACTCACACTGGGGAGAGACCCTACGAGTGTAAGGAGTGTGGGAAAGCCTTCACTACATCCTCGGGCCTTATTGAACACATGAGAAGTCACCTGAGAGAGAAGCCCTTTGAATGTGAGCAGTGTGGGAAAGCGTTTGCTTCTTCTTCATATCTCATTGCACATTTGCGAACCCACACTGGAGAGAAGCCCTTTGAGTGTGCGGTGTGTGGGAAAGCCTTCACACGTTCCTCCTACCTTCACAGGCATGTGCGAATTCACACTGGAGAAAAACCCTATGAATGCAAGGACTGTGGGAAAGCGTTCACGGAGCGATCATGCCTTAATGTACACTCACGAACACACACTGGAGAGAGGCCCTACAAATGTAAGGAATGTGGGAAAGCCTTCACTACCTTTCCTCAACTAACTGAACATATAAAAACTCACACTGGTGAGAAGCCTTTTGAATGTCAAGTATGTGCAAAATCGTTTAGAAATTCCTCATGCCTTAAGAAGCACTTTCGAATTCACACTGGAGTTAAGCCTTATCAGTGTAAGGAGTGTGGGAAAGCCTTCGCCGGGCGAACGGGCTTTACTACACATGTGCTCACTCACACTGGGGAGAGACCCTACGAGTGTAAGGAGTGTGGGAAAGCCTTCACTACATCCTCGCACCTTATTGAGCATGAAAGAAGTCACACAGGAGAGAAGCCCTTTGAATGTGACCAGTGTGGGAAGGCCTTTGTGGCTTCCTCATCTCTTAATGTCCACTTGAGAACTCACACTGGGGAAAAGCCCTTTGAGTGTAAGATGTGTGGGAAAGCATTTCGGTATTCCTCCAGTCTTTGCAGTCACATGCGAACTCACACTGGAGAGAAGCCCTATGCGTGTAAAGAGTGTGGGAAGGCTTTCACTGAGCGCTCACGCCTTACTAAACACTTACGAACACACTGGAAAGAAGTCCTATGAACGTGGAATGGTCATCACTAGTTCTGATTTTACTGAACGTAAAAAAATACCACTGGAGAGAAACCTTTTCAATAAAAGGAATCAGGAAGATTTTTTTAGGAAGTCCTTATTTATAATCTCATTTGAATTCAGTGTTGGAAAACCTTATCAATATAAGCAATTTGTGAAAGCATTCAGTTGTCCCTGTTTATTTCCAGTATATAAAAAAACTCACATAGATACTGAGAGCCACTGGAATTTCCACACCATCCAGCATGTAAGAGCACGCCTTGAAGCTGTGTAGTATAGGCAATACTGAAAAGCTTTACTGTTTCATGAGGGTCTTGCTAAAAATGCGGGATTTCCAATAGAGAAAAATGATTGGCATAAAATATGGAAAAGTTGTAGTTCAGCTGTGTATTTTGATACTCACCTGTGATTTCTGAAATCTGCATGTTGACAGAAACATGGCTTTCTAGGTGGTCCTGTAGATAGATTTTTGAATATTTCATTTGTCTCAGTATGTGTATATTTTTATTATTTTAATTATAAATGTTCAATTTCTTAAGTGATTATATCTTTTTTGAGGTATAATTTTTTTGAGAAGAAAACAATTTCTTATAAAGTTTTAAACAAAACTTCCTTAAGATTCCTTCTTAAGGAATCTTTTTTTTTTTTTATCTTTTATTTAATGAATATAAATTTCCAAAGTACGACTCATGTGTTACAATGGCTCCCCCCCATACCGTCCCTCCGACCCACAACCCTCCCCTTTCCCACTCCCTCTCCCCTTCCATTCACATCAAGATTCATTTTCGATTATCTTAATATACAGATCAGCTTAGTATACCTTCTTAAGGAATCTTAAAATGTCTTGAGGTATAATTAAAAACTCATATATTTAGGATGTATAACTCAAGGTATGATATATGTAAATATTGTGGAATTATTAACACAATCACACTGATTAATACATTAGTTACCTCATGTAGTTACCTTTTATTTGCCATATGGTGAGAACATTTTCTACTATTTTTTTTTTTTTTTTGACAGGCAGAGTGGACAGTGAGAGAGACAGAGAGAAAGGTCTTCCTTTGCCATTGGTTCACCCTCCAATGGCCGCCGTGACTGGCGTGCTGCGCTGGCACACCGCGCTGATCCGATGGCAGGAGCCAGGTACTTACAGGAGCCAGAGTTACAGAGAGAAAGAGAGAGACAGATCTTCCAACTGCTGGTTCATTCCCCAAATGGCTGCAATGGCTGGAGTTGAGCCGATCTGAAGCCAGCAGCCAGGAGCTTCCTCCAGGTCTTCACACGTGGGTGCAGGGGCCCAAGCACTTTGGCCATCTTCTGCTGCTGCTTCCTGCCATCAGTAGAGAACTGGATCAGAAGTGGAGCAGCGGGGACATGAATTGGTACCCATATAGGATGCTTTTGCTAGAGGTGATGGCTTTACCTGCTATGCTACAATGACAGTTCCAATATTACCATCTTTCAGTTTCACATCTGGAACAGTAATGGACAACAAGCAACTGCCATTATATTTTATCATGAAATAGTAAAAGTTAATATCAAACCATTGGAATGAAAAGATTATGATAGTGACCTTGACATAAATATATCACTAGTATAGACAGTCTAGAAACATAGCTGGTATTTATTTATAGGAACTTAGTGTTTTAATATAAGTGTAATTATCAACCAGTAAGTCAAGGACTGTTTATCAGAAAACAGTCGTACAATAATTGGCCAAATTTCTGGGAGAAAAAGATGTACTTATGTAACATGCCAAGTACATTCCATGAAGGGCAGATGTTTTTAAAAAGTGATATACTGGTGTGCTTGCATGGGCAGCACATATACTAACATTGGAATGATACAAGGCCAGCGCCGGGGCTCACTAAGTTAATCCTCCGCCTTGCGGCGCCGGCACACCAGGTTCTAGTCCCGGTTGGGGCGCCGGATTCTGTCCCGGTTACCCCTCTTCCAGGCCAGCTCTCTGCTGTGGCCAGGGAGTGCAGTGGAGGATGGCCCAGGTGCTTGGGCCCTGCACCCCATGGGAGACCAGGAGAAGCACCTGGCTCCTGCCATCGGATCAGCGCGGTGCGCCGGCGGCGGCGGCGGCCATTGGAGGGTGAACCAACAGCAAAGGAAGACCTTTCTCTTTCTCTCTCTCTCTCTCTCTCTCTCTCTCTCTCTCTCTCTCTCTCACTGTCCGCTCTGCCTGTCAAAACAAAAAATAATAATTATCAAGTCAAATGACTCATAAAACATTGAGATGGCACATGAATAATTCTTGGTAAAAGGCTGGTACATCAATGGTCAGAATAATTTTATTAACTCCACAAATCCACCAGTAACAACCACAGAAAAATGATTAGCAGGGGAACTTCAGAACCACTGCTGCCTAGGCGAAGAATACCTCGTATTAGTGCTGCTTTGCAACCTTGGAGGGGTGGCCATGAACCTATGGTTAGATTCGAGAAAGAAAAAGGTATTTGAATAAGATAGCAAATTCAGGTTTACAAAACGTTATCAGGACATTGGAAACACAAGCAATCAATTGTCAGTTCAGTGTCCTGATAAAAAACAAACTAGGCGAGACGAAGGCCCAGAGACTAGCCTGCAGAAGAGAGACATCTCACGGATTGGCATTTTGTCCACAGGGCTCTGAACAACGTCACGGGACGGAGGTGGAAACCACTCTGTGACGTATCGTGGGTGAGTCACCACGTCTCCATGGAAACCGGGCGCGCGGCCGGCTCGCACTCCACCCGCCCAGCCCGGTCCGGCCCCGCCCCCGCCGGCAGCTCCGCCCACGGGGCTGGCTATCCTCAAACCTTGGCCTCCGGGCCTGGTTCTGCCTCCGGCCCACGCTCGGAGCGGTTCAGGGCCCCGCCGCACTCGGGAGGGAGGGAACGGGAACTTCCCCGCCAGAAGCGAGTCCGGGCGGCTGAGGCGCCAGCGCCCGGGGCCCGCCCCCCGCCCGCCGAGAGGCTGTGAGCGGAAGTGACGTCGCGGCCGTCGCCTCGGCCCGGGCTCGGCGTCTCTGGGCGCCTCTTCTCCTCAGTGGCAGTCGTTCTAACCTCAGCTTCGGTGAGGCCGGGTGGGAGGGACGGGCCGACCTTGAAGGGCGGCGGCGACGGGGCGAGTTGGGCCGCGGCCGCTGAGGGGGGCGTGGCGGCGGGCCCGAGAGGTCGCCGTCAGCTGCGTCGGGGTCTGTCGCGAGGGCTTCTCCTCAGGGCGTCTCCAGTCACTGTGGTCCCTCTTCCTTAAGTCTCCTCGGTGACGCTTTCTCTTCCAGAAGGAATCGGGCTTCCGCGTTCACTGCCGCGGACGCGGGTCCTGCGTCGCCTCCCGGCCGGCGGGCCGGCGCCTCGCGGTGAGCCGGAGCCCCGAGCCCCGAGCCCCGAGCCCCGAGCCCCGAGCCCCGGCCCCGGGAGAGAGCTGGCCGCGGAGGGCCTCTCCCTCCTGTTTCAAAACAAACGTCCCACGGGAGAGTGTAGCTTTCTCTTGGGCGTCGTACGGTCAGTATTTATTTATTTTTAGATTTATTTACTTATTTGAAAGAGTTACACAGAAAGAGGAGAGGCAGGGAGGGAGAGAGGTCTTCCATCTGCTGGTTCGCTCCCCAAGTAGCCGCAATGGCTGGAGTTGGCCCATCCGAACCCAGGAGCCAGGAGCTCCATCCGGGTCTCCCACGCGGGTGCAGGGGCCCAAGCACTTGGCCCATCCTCCACTGCTTTCCCAGGCCACAGCTGAGAGCTGGACTGGAAGTGGAGCAGCCTGGACTTGAACTGGTGCCCAGTGTGCACTGTAGGCAGCAGCCTTACCTGCTACCCCACAGCACTGCCCCTGTGTTTAGGATGTGCATATTCTAATTTGTGCATATAAAAGTGTAGACAAGTCATTCTAAAGAAAACCAGGAATATTCAGCCCTTCTCTTCAGGTGAACTTCCTAGGCTTGTATGCTCCACAGAGCTTCAAAACAGAAGCTTCTAGAAGAAAGGATGACGGCTTTATTACACTAGTGCTATAATATTTGAATTTAGCCTTTGCTTTCTCTCTCTCCAGAAAAATAAAATATTTTTTTTTCTTTTGGTGAATTGAGAGCAAGTAAGTTGAAACTGACAGGCATGACACTTGAGCTTTAAATGCTTGGTAATTTATCCGCTGTAGATAAGACAATTTAAGGCCGAAGCCGCGGCTCACTAGGCTAATCCTCCGCCTGCGGCGCCGGCACCCCGGGTTCTAGTCCCGGTTGGGGCGCCGGTTCTGTCCCAGTTGCTCCTCTTCCAGGCCAGCTCTCTGCTGTGGCCCGGGAGTGCAGTGGAGGATGGCCCAATTGCTTGGGCCCTGCACCCCATGGGAGACCAGGAGAAGCACCTGGCTCATGCCATCGGATCAGCGCTGTGCTCCGGCCGCAGTGCGCCGGCTGCAGCGGCCATTGGAGGGTGAACCAACGGAAAAAGGAAGACCTTTCTCTCTGTCTCTCGCTCTCTCTCACTGTCCACTCTTCCTGTCAAAAAAAAAAAAAAATAATAATTTAAACTACAATACTGTTGGAACCACCAAAGTAAAAAAGTATTGTTATTAAGATATAGCCGGGGTAAAATGAAGTTTACATTGTTCCAGTGTGTGCTATTGTTTTTTTTTTTTTTTTTTTTTTAAGATTTATTTATTTATTTGAAAGGCAGAGACAGAGGTCTTCAATCCGCTAGTTCACTCCCCAGATGGCAGCAATGGCTGGAGCTGATTTGATCCGAAGCCAGGATCTAGGAGCTTCCTCCCGGTCTCCTGCATAGGTGCAGGGGCCCAAGGATCCCGGTCCAACTGCTTTCCCAGGCCACAGAGGAGAGCTGGATCGGAAGTGGAGCAGCCAGGACTCAAACCGGTGCCCATATGGGATGCCAGCACCATTGTGCCTGGCCCCTGTTATTGGTTCTTACCTGTATCTATTCAGGGTTCGTGGATTCCAGTTGTTAATGACTTTGAACCTAGACCAGCCACTATTGCTTCTGTTATTTTTTGAGGAGTCACTCTTGAAGAAAGATACATTTTGGTACTTTTTCTTGTATTCTTGTGAGATGTTTAAGTATTTCCTCCATTTCTTGTATTTCCTGATAACACCTACATGGTTGCTTAAGGCACAGTGAAGAAATTCAACCTAAAGCTGTTCAAAGGGAGCTTCTAAACTAATAAAAGAGGCCAACATCTAGCCAAGAAAATAAATGTATTATTAGATATTCATGATGGTCTGGAAGGTAGAGAAAGTATTATTTTCTCTTGTCTTTGTATGGATGTTGGTGAAGCTAAGAAAAGAAATTGATATGTGAGGCCAAAAATAAAAAGTGTAGGAGTTAGCCTTGCTGAGTGGGAAAGTGAGCAGGAGAGGGTGAGTGTTGTGTGAATTGGCAGATTGTATTTCCATGGAGATAGCAGAAAGTGCCTAAAGAATTACTCCCAGGTTTGAAACTGAGAATCATTTTCTGATTCCTCTTTAAGTGATATAAATCAAGATAAAATAGGAAAAAGCATGTGTATGTTTTTTTTTTAAAGATTTATTTTATTTATTTGAAAGACAGAGTTACAGAGAGAGGTAGAGACAGAGAGAAAGGTTTTCCATCCGCTGGTTCACTCCCCAGATGGCCTCAACAGCTGGAGCTGCGTTGATCCCAAGCCAGGAGCCAGGAGCTTCCTCCAGGTCTCCCACATGGGTTCAGGGGCCCAAGGACTTGGGCCATCTTCCACTGCTTTCCCAGGCCATAGCAGAGAGCTGGATGGGAAGAGGAGCAGCCGGGACTAGAACCGGCGCCCATATGGGATGCCGGCGCTTCAGCCCTGGGTGTTAGCCCGCTGCGCCACAGCGCCGGCCCCAATATGTTCAATATGTTTTAATTTCTTGAATAGAAAATTAATTCAGGAAATTAGAATCTGTGGCTGAGATTGAAAAATTGGTTTGCTTTAAAAATTCACTTACTTTTTAATGATCAATCTAGGAAATGTTTGTGTCCATTAACACAGTCAGATTTTTTTTTTTTTTAAGATTTATTTATTTATTTGAAAGAGTTGCACAGAGAGAGAGAAGTCTTCCATCTGCTGGTTCACTCCCCAATTGGCCACAACAACCGGAGTTGTGGCAATCCGAATCCAGGAGCCAGGAGCTTCCTCTGGGTCTCCCACACGGGTGCAGGGGCCCAAGGACTTGGGCTATCTTGCACCACTTTCCCAGGCCATAGCAGAGAGCAGGAGTAGCCACATCTCAAACTGGTGCCCATATGGGATGCCTGCACTGCAGGTGCCCCCTCCCCTTAATAAAAGAATGATTTATTTATTTGAAAGGCAAAGTTACGGAGAGGGGGGAGACAGTCAAAATCTTTGATTTTTTTTTTTTCAGTCAATCCTGGTGTTCTTTTCCTATTCAAACTAGTCTTTAGTTTACCTGAATTAATATTCCAAATAAACATTCCTGTATTACTTTGAAGACATGCACACATCTAGGAGGTTGGGATCACTTCATAAGTAAATAGACAGAAAACGTGCCAGCATGGGCTTCTAGTAAGCTCTGAAGGGGGTGTGTGGTTTGGTAATGTCTGTGTTTTCTGTTTGCCACTTAGGGGTCCCATAGGGCTAGGTGTACATAGTGAAACAATTGGTGAGGATTCTGAAGATAAAACTTGATTTTTCTTCATAAATTTTTTCTTCATAAAATATACTTGTTGATTCAGAGTTTACTGGAGAACAATTTCAAAACTGTAAACAGTGTGTCCTAACTGTACATATACATACAATAATGCTTGCACTTGTGTATCAAGATTAAAGATTTTTCATGCTTCATTATATGGAATAGGCCCTGCAATTCTAGCCACATTGCTGCTTTTTAAGCCAGCAAAAGGAGTGTTAGCACCTCAGGGGAGGCCTGTGCCCTCTTTAAAAGTCCACCACCTGATTAAATCAGGCCTACCTGTGTAAGTTCCCCATTGACCTCAGAACCAGCTGATTTGAGAAATTAATTACATTTGAAAAATCCCTTTATTTTTGCTATTTTCTGTTGGCTGGAAGCAAGTTACAGAATATCCAGGGCTGCAGACAGCAGGAGGTGGGGTTGCTGAGGTTATTTTATTAGGACAGTTATATTGTTAGAGGTTATAAACTGATAATTTAGTAAGGTATATGTGAAGTTTTGTGATATTATGTGTAACCAGAGAAGGAGTGGTAGTGTTCAAAGAGGCAAGGAAGGAACGGCTGGTAAAAGTAGGAGGGGCATAATAGGAGAAAGTATCAGATATGTGGTCTTGCTCCAGGAAGCTAAAGGGGTTGACTGACATGAGACACTTGCTTCCTGTGGAAAACAGTAATCCCCGTTTTAACTTTAGTAGCCCATTCCAGACTTCTGCTTTATGGGTGTATGGGTGTGTACATTTGAGCAGAGGGCAAGTAGTATACCAGCCTAGGATCATGGGCTAAGCAGACAGTTCCAGAATATATATATATATATACACACACACACATACATATATATATATATACACACATCTCTCTCTCTCTCTATATATATATATAAAAAGTCCTGTGTCCTTTTGTGCCTTCAGAGAGGCTGTCCAATGGGCATGCTGTGTGGCAGTATTAATTTTTTTTTTTAAGGTGAAGCAGAAAAAGAGAGATCACTCCCCAGATGCTTGTCGAGGCTGGCACTGGGCTGGACCAGGCTAAAGCTGGGCGATGGGAAGCCAGTGTGGATCTCCCATGGGAGTTGCAGGAGTGGAACTAAACCAGCTGAATAGCCTCGTGAAGGTGTTAGTGTGGTAGAGGTCACCTCTGACTGCAAGTTCTTAGGTTGGGGCAATGACATCTGAGAGGCTATCATTTCCAGTGGTGACATTTTAAGCCAAGATTAAGTCATTTGGAAGTGGGATTGGAGTATCCTTTTTAAGTGAATACCCGCTGGAGTTAATGTGATCTGATTAAAAACCAATAAAGCAATAAATTACTAAACCAATAGTAATACGACCGTTAGTTAATAGAATGATGTTAAGCTGCACTGGAGAAGGAGTTTTTGGCTTATGTTTTATTTTGTTTAAATTTGAAAGGCTCCTGAAATGGCCACAACAGTTGGCTGTTACGGGCTGAAGCCAGGAGCCAGGAACTCCATCCTGGTCTCCCACATAGGTGGCAGGAGCTCAAGTACATGAGCCATCATCAAGTATTCCCCAAGTACATTAGCAGGGGGCTGGATCAGAAGTGCACTAGCTGGGACTCAAACTGACCCTTAGGGATGTGGGTGTCCCAGGCTGGGACTTAACCTGCACGCTGCAATGGTCCACTGGTTGTTTTTTTTTGGTGGAAGTATAGTTTGGCAGTTGAATTTGCAAATGAGGGACATATTGCCACTTCTTAGTACGTAAGAAGTACTAAAGGATATTGGAGTTACAGGTCCATTGTGAGTGTGTCAGCTGAGTCTCCTTGGGGAAAGATGTTATGGATGTGATATCATACCTGGGTTATGAAGGAGGTGGGTGTTATAAAGATCATGTGTGATGGCAGATCTGTTGAATAGCCTGGAAAAAGTGAGTTGTGTCCCTTCTGACATGGAGGCAAACTGCAGGTATGAGGCTGTTGGTAAGTTTGAATCCCCGAGGCCCTGTTTTACATTGGTCCATGTTAACTGGGGATCTGTGGGGTGCTATCTTAAGAGTATTTATTCTCAAACTGAAATATTATAGAGCCAGAGGTGCTACCATTAGGAAGTTTAAGCAAGGTTATGGTTAAAGTGAGGCATACTTTTTTTCCCTTCTGTATTTAGTTTCCCTTTGAAGAGTTTAGAGGCACAATGGTTAAATTTAGTGGAATCCCTTTGTTTAACTTGATCCCCAGATTGACTAAACCAAAGAAATTTTGTTAATTGATACACCAATGGAGTTTCGTTGATTGATACACCTTAGCAAATGTTAAAAATAAGTAAAAACAGTATACCTTTGGATCTGTTTGCCTGCCTTTTTCTTTCTTCTCTCTCTCCCTATCTCCATCTCTCTCTCCCTCCCTCCTTCTCTCTCTCTCTCTCTCTTTTTTTTTTTTTTGCATTTCATAAGTACAACTTTAGGAATATAGTGATTCTTCCCATCATACCTGCCATCCCACCCACTCTCTCACCCCTCCTCCTTCCTCTCCCATTCTCAGTCCCATTCTCCACTAAGATCCATTTTTGATTAACTTGATACTAAACTCTATACCAAATAAAGAGTGCAACAGTTTGCACAAGCAAACAAAAACACCTGTTCCTCAACATTCACAACAAGGGCTCTTCAAATTCATTGCATCTTTAAGGTAATTTCACTTTTTTTTTTTTTAAAGAAAACTAACTTTAAAGAAGCACCCAAGAATTATACTTTTTTTTGCTAGCACTTAGACATAATTATAATACAACTCTTTGAGGACAGAGGTCCTGCATGGGAAGTTAGTGTATAGTGACTCTTGTTAATTTAACAATTAACACTCTTATGTATGATGTCAGTGATCACCTGAGGCTCTTGACATGAGCTGCCTATGCTATGGAAACCTTTGAATCCACAAACCCTCAGTATTTAGACAAGGCGATAAGCAAAGTGGAAGTTCTCTTCTCCCTTCAGAGAAAAGTACCTTCTTCTTTGATGACCACTTCTTTCCACTGGGGTATCACCCACCGAGGTCCTTCATGTAGGACATTTTTTGCTACAGTGCCTTGACTTTCCATTCATGAAGTACTCTGGTGGGCTTTTTAGCCAAGCTAGAATGCCTTAAGGGCTGATTCTGAGGTCAGAGTGCTATTTAAAGCAATTGTCACTCTATGAGTCTGCTGTGTGGACTGCTTCCCATATTGGAACATTCAATCCTTTTAAATTCTATCTATTATTATTGCCAGACATTTAATCCTATCCATATTATCACTTTAACACTTATGGTATTTTTGCCACCCACCTTAAGGGGATTTGGGGTCCCATGGCAAGTTTTTAAATTGTACCCTTAGAAGTAAGTCTGTAGGAATGTATGCAGAACTATACAGCTTTACAGTTATAAACTTCATACACTTCATAGTTACAGCTTTAGGAACATGGTGATTCTGCCATGCCTGCCCTCGCACCCCTCTTCTTCCTCCCTATCTTATTCCCACTTTTATTTTTTACTGAGATCTATTTTCAATGGACTTTATACACATGTTTAATTCTGTGTTAAGGTAAAGAGTTCAACAAAAAGTATAAAAAATAAGAATAAAAAACTATTCCTCAACAGTCAAGATAATGGCTGTTCAAATCATTGCTTCTCAAAGAGTCAATTTCACTTCTACAGATTACATTTTAGGTGCTCTATTAGTTATCACAGGTCAAGGAGAACATATGGTATTTGTCCCTTTGGGACTGGCTTATTTCACTAAGTATATGATTTTTTCCAGACTCATCCATTTTGTTGTAAATGACCAGATTTCTTTTTTTAACCACTGTGTAGTATTCCATAGTGTACATATCCCATAATTTCTTTATCCAGTCTTAAGTTGACAGGCATTTGGGTTGATTCCATGTCTTAGCTATTGTGAATTGAATTGCACTAAACATGGGGATGCAGATAGCTCTTTCATATGCTGATTTCATTTCCCTTGGGTAAATTCCCTGGAGTGGGATGGCTGGGTTGTATGGTAGGACTATGTTCGGATTTCTGAGGTATCTCCACAATGTCTTCCATCCCACAAACAGTGGATTAGGATACCTTTTCCCCCATACCCTTGCCAGCATTTGTTGTTTGTTGATTTCTGTATAAAAACCATTCTAACTGGGGTGAGGTGAGACCTCACTGTGGTTTTGATTTGCATTTTTTTCATGTGTCTGTTGGCCATTTGGATTTCTTCTTTTGAAAAATGTCTGTTAAAGTCCTTTGCCCATATCTTCACTAGGTTGTTTGTTTTGTTGTTGAATTTCTTGATCTCTTTATATATTCTGGTTATTAATCCTTTATCAGTTGAATCATTTACAAATAATTTCTCTTATTCTGTTGGTTGCCTCTTCACTTTCCTGAGTGTTTCTTTTGCAGTACAGAAGCTTCTCAATTTGATGTAATCACATTAGTTAATTTTGGCTTGGCTTGCTTGTGCCTTTGGGGTCTTTTCCAAGAAGTCTTTGCTTATGCCAATGTCTTGCAGGGTTTCCTCAATGTTCTCTAATAATTTGATGGTATTGGGTTGTAGATTTAGGTCTTTAATCCATTTTGAGTGGATTTTTGTGTAAAGTATAAAGTAACGGGTCTTGCTTCATATTTCTACATGTGGAAATACAGTTTTCCCAGCACCATTTGTTGAAGAGACTCTCCTTGCTCCAGGGATTGATTTTAGCTCCTTTATCAAAGATAAGTTGGTTATAGATGCTTGGATTGATTTCTGGTATTAGTATTCTTTTTTTTTTGACAGGCAGAGTGGACAGTGAGAGAGAGCGAGAGACAGAGAGAAAGGTCTTCCTTTAACATTGGTTTACCCTCCAGTGATCACTGTGGCTGGCGCACCGTGCTAATCCAAAGCCAGGAGCCAGGTGCTTCCTCCTGGTCTCCCATGCGGGTGCAGGGCCCAAGCACTTGGGCCATCCTCCAGTGCACTCCTGGGGCACAGTGGAGAGCTGGACTGGAAGAGTGGCAACCAGGACAGAATCCGGCACCCTGACCGGGTCTAGAACCTGGGGTGCCGGCACCACAAGCAGAGGATTAGCCTATTGAGCCGCAGTGCCGGCCAGCATTAGTATTCTGTTCTATTGGTCTATCCATCTATTTTTGTGCCAGTACCAGGCTGTTTTGATTATAACTGTCCTGTAGTATGTGTTGAAATCTGGTATTTTGATGCCTCCAGCTTGTTTCTGTTGTATTAGATGGCTTTAGCTATTTGAGGTCTCCTGTGTTTCCATATGATTTTCAGCATCATTTTTTCTATATCTGAGAAGAATGTCTTTGGTATTTTGATTGGTATTGCATTGAATCTGTAAACTGTTTTTGGAAGTATGGACATTTTGATGATATTGATTCTTCCAATCCATGACATGGAAGATTTTTCCATTTTTTTGTATCTTCCTCAATATCTTTCTTTAATATTTTGTAATTCTCATCATAGAGATCTTTGATATCCTTGATTAGTTTTATTCCAAGGTATTTGATTTTTTAAAATAATTTACTTATTTATTAGAGGTATTATAGACAGTAAGAGGAAAAGACAGAAAGATCTTCCATCTGGTGGTTCACACCCCAAATGGCCACAATGGCTGGAGCTGAGCCAATCAGAAGCCAAGAGCCAGGAGCTTCCTCTGGTTTCCCACGTGGGTGCAGAGGCCCAAGTGCTTATGCTATCTTTAACTGCTTTCCCAGACCATAAAAGAGAGCTGGATCAGAAGAGGAGCAGCCAGGACTAGAACTGGTGATCATATAGGAAGCCGGTGCTCAGGCAGAGAATTAACTTACTACACCACAGTGCAGGCCCCGGTATATGATTTTTTTTTTTTTTTTGTCGCTGTTATGAATGGGATTGATCGTAGAAGTTCTTTGTCATCTGTGGCTTTGTGTGTACAAAGGCTGTTGATTTTTGTGTATTGATTTTTTTAAAAGATTTATTTATTTATTTGAAAGAGTTACACAGAGAGAAGAGAGGGAGAGGTCTTCCATCCAGTGGTTCACTCACCAGTTGGCCGCAATGGCCGGAGCTGCGCTGATCCAAAGCCAGGAGCAAGGAGCTTCTTCTGGGTCTCCCACATGGGTGCAGGGGCCCAAGGACTTGGGCCATCCTCTACTGCTTTCCTTGGCCATAGCAAAGAACTGGACCGGAAGTAGAGCAGCCAGTTCTTGAACCAGCGCCCATTTGGGATGCTGGCGCTTCAGTCCAGGGCGTTAACCTGCTGCACCACAGCACTGGCCCTGTATTGATTTTATATCCTGCTACTTCACCAGACTCTTCTAGGAGTTCCAATAGTCTCTTGGTGGAGTCTTTTGGATCCCCTATATATAGAATCATGTCATCTGCAAATGGGGATAGTTTGACTTCCTCTTTCCTAATTTGTATTTCTTTGATTTCTTTTTCTTGCCCAATGGCTCTGGCTAAAACTTCCTGGAATATATTGAATAGCAGTGGTGAAAGTGGGCCTCCTTGTCTGGTTCCAGATCTCAGTGAGAATGCTTCCAACTTTTCTCCATTCAATAGGATGCTGGCCATGGGTTTGTCATTGATTGCCTTGATTGTGTGAAGAATGTTCCTTCTATACTCAATTTGCTTAGAGTTTTCATCATGAAAGGGTGTTGTATTTTATCAGACGCTTTCTTTGCATCTATTGAGATAATCATATGTTTTTTTTTTTTCAGTTTGTTAATGTGATGTATCACATCAATTGATTTTCTAAAGTTGAACCATCCCTGCATGTCAGGGATAAGTCCTGCTTGGTCTGGTGAATGATATTTCTAATGTGTTATTGGATTCTATTTGCCAGAAGTTTTTTGAGGTTTTTTGCATCTATGTTCATCAGGAAAATTGGTCTGTAGTTTTATTTCTCAATTGCATCTTTTTCAGGTTTAGGAATTAAGGTAATGTTGGCTTCTTTGAATTTGGGAGGATTCCCTCCCTGTCAATTATTTTGAATAGCTTGAGAAGAATTGGAGTTACTTTTTTTTTTTTTTTAAGATTTATTAATTTATTTGAAAGAGTTACACGGGGAGAGAAGGAGAGGCAGGCTATAGCAGAGAGCTGGATTGGAAGTGGGGCAGCTGGGCCTCCAACTGGCACCCATATGGGATGCTGCCACTGTAGGTGGCAGCTTAACCTGCTATGCCACAGTGCCAGCTCCCCTCCCTCCCTTTTTAAAAGATTTATTTATTTATTTGAAAGAGTTACACAAGAGGAGAGGCAGAGAGAGAGAGAGAGAGAGAGAGAGAGAGAGATCGATCTTCCATCCACTGGTTCACTCCCCAATTGGTCACAATGGCCGGAGCTGTGCCGATCCAAAGCTAGGAGCCAGGAGCTCTTCCGGGCCTCCCACGCGGGTGCATGGGCCCAAGGACTTGGGCAGTCCTTTGCTTTTCCAGGTGATAGCAGAGAGCTGGATCGGAAGTAGAACAGCTGTGTCTCGAACCGATGCCCATATGGGATGCCAGCACTTCAGGCCAGCCCCTGGAGTTACTTCTGTTTTAAATGTCTGGTAGAATTCAGCAGTGCAGCCAGCCAGTCATGGTCTTTTCTTTGTTGGGAGGATCTTTATTACTGATTCAGTTTCTGTCTTAGTTTTGGGTCTGTTTAGGTTTTCTGTGTCTTCATGGCTCAATTTATGTAGGTTGAATGTGTCCAGGAATCTATCCATTTCTTCTTGGTTTCCTGGTTGATGTAGAACTCTTTGTAGTAATTTCTGATGATTGTTTTTATTTCTGTGGTGTCTGTTACATTTCCTCTTTCAAATCAGGACTCCAGCAGCCAAGAGCCTCCACACCAGCTTTGGAGAGTGAGGTGAGACGAGACTGCGGCAGCCCAAGCCTCTGGCAGTGAAGCTGCTTTGGCTCTTTACCATCTGTGTACACCCTCCTGCACCCATTTGAATTTCTTTATAATGTTTAAGTATGTCTGCGTTTGTACCTAAGAACATATAAGGGAAAAAAGTTCTTACCCTTCCCCAAAATGAGAGGATACACAGTCTCAGTAGTCATTTACATATTAATTACTCCTCAAATTTAATGAATTCTATTACCTAATTAAATTGAAAAACTAATCTCTAATGACATGAATTTAAAATAATAGTGGAAAGGAGGTAGAAATGAATGGTTAGTTATATAAAGGAATATGTGAATGTCTATAAATACATATGTATAACAAAGAAAGAAAACATGCAAAATTAATACAGTTTTTATTTCTGTAATTGTCCTTGAGACTATAGTTGACATCTATGACTTACTTTTTTAACAATCATTTCTATACTTTCCTCGCCCTCAACCAGAACCTCAGCTGCTCTGGATTCTGTACCTGGTAGTGATTCAGACCTTATTCTCTCAGTGGTCTATCTCCTCCATTATCCTACCTTTTTTCGCATTTAAAGTATTATTTATTGTCATTTTTATTTGAAAGGCATAGAGAGACACAGAGACATCTTCCATCTGCTAGTTTACTCCCCAAATGCCGACAATAGCCAGGGCCTGAAACTCAATCTGGGTCTTCCAGGTGAATGGGAAAGACCCAGATTCTTGGGCCATCACCTGTAGTCTCCCAACATGCGCATTACAGGAAGCTGGAATTGGAACAGAGCTGAGACATGAAGCAGGAATTCTGATGTGGAATGTGGGCATTCCAAGTGGTGTCATAGCCACTGCACTAAACACCCGCCCCCGTCTTTATCACTTGTAATTTTTCATTATACATTGTATGCATGTAGAAGATTTGATGGTCCTGCCCTTTTTTCATCATTGATTCAATCATACATTGATATTGTACTCCTTTGGTAATTGGGATTACTCAGTCTGGCCAATAGATTAATGTCTCCCACCTCCTTTTACTCTTGCCTTTTGGCTTGATGATATATAAAGCCCAAAATGGCCAACTGACAATTTCCTCTTCCAGTGTACTGGGGCCAAAATTGTACTTTCCTTGGAGAGCATTCCTCACTCGGGACTGAGGTCAGGCATGCTGTAATCTAAGTTGCCAAGATTGAGAGTAAAATTAGTATTAGTGGAGCCAACTTTACCTTCCCCTGTCAGTTCCTAAACTTAAATGTTCTGGCCTTTTGGAGATGGTATCATGTAAAGCTTTGTGATTTAGAGCGTATATCTCTCCTGTGATACAGAATCCCTTTGTTTCATTGATCAGTGGAGCTGTTGTGCTTCAGTTCTCTACTTTTGAGTAGCATTAGCATATTGTACAGACACATTTGTCAACCAGGCTTTGTCACAAGTAGATTGATATCCAGAATATCCCAGGAATCTGTAGTCCTGGATTGAAGAGTTGGGAGATTGTGAGAATGGAGTTTATTGAAAAGGTCTTTGAAGTCTGCCCATGCAGTTTGCTCACTGGAACTGCCAAAGCCAGATTCAACGTCTTCTATACTGTTTGTGTTAGATGATAGATTACTGCTGCCTATGCCTAAACTGATGGCAACATCTGGTTCATGGTGTGAATCAGTTTACTTAGTCACTTGATGTCCCATGGTTAGTTGTTCAGACGTATGGTGTACCAATGGGGAAAAAAATAGTTTCATGGGGCTGGCATTGTGGCACAGTGGCTTAAGCTGGCACTTGCAACACCAGCATCCCAAGTTGGAATTTGTGTCCTGGCTGTTCTGCTTCTAATCCAGCTTCCTGCTAATGGACTTTAGAAGGCAGCAGAGGATGGCCCAACTACTCAGGCTGCTGCCACCTATATGGAAGACCAGGATGGAGTTCCCAGCTCCTGGTTTCAGCCTGATCCAGTTCTTGCTGTTGTGGCCATTTGGGGCATGAACCAGATCTCTCTCTTTGTCACTCTACCTTTTGAATGAATCTTTTAAGAATAGTCTGCAGAAGAGGGTATAGATTTGCTCTAGAGTATTAGAAATCTGTGCTCTGGTTCTTCAGTTGGTGCTTGTGAGAGGCTTCCAGAAACATCCTGTTTCCCATGGACACTGTCACTGTAGCCCTTATCTTAATGTACAGTGCTCGCTTGCTGTTGTTCCATTTGAAACTAGAAGCCTTATGGGCAAGTCTGTAGATGGGTTAAAGTACATTCAAATATGCTGTGTACTCCCTCCAAATTCTAAAAGGTGTAAGAAGTATTGTGCCTCATTTTTTAAGGAACAGGTGGTATGAGGTGCAGTAATTAGAGTGACATCTTTGAGGGACTATCTTGACATGATCTGAGTAATTTTAAAAAGGATTTATTTATTTGGAAGGTGGGAAAAGAGAGATCGAGAGATCATGTGCGCATGCACGCGCGAGATCTTCCATCAGCTGATTGACTTCCCAAATGGCTGCAAGGACCCAAGCTGATGAAGCCAAGATCCTTGTGCAGGTCTCCTGTGTCGGTTTCCAGGCACATTAGTGTGGAGCCAGATCAGAAGTGGAGGAGCCAAGACTTGAACCTCATATGGTTCAGTGCTCATTTGGGATACCATGTGGTAGGCAGCAGCCTAACCAGCTGTGCCACAATGACAGCACCCGATTTAGGTCATGGAATCCTCAGAAGCTTCATTGATTTTGTTGGTCCTTTAATCTGCCACTCCATCCTATGTACACTTTATAATATCTAACGTAATTGCTACTTCTTGCTAATGGGGTCAAATTCACAGAATATATTCAGTGTAGTACACCAGTGTGATTCTTTGTGTAGTATCAAGATCTCTGAAGATTATGTTTTGATAGAGAACAGAGTTGATGTGTTTATCTTAATCTACAGTAATTCTCCAAAATCCATGTCACTCCTGTACATTTCTAAGTGGTGGGTCTCCTAGGTCTGGAAATCGGGTGAGAGGCTGTGATTCTCTCTTGTGGTGACTTAAGTAGGTTTTGGGCCACCAGACTTGAGACTTCTTACTCCATAAGATCAAGCAATATTTTAGTACTCAGGCTGGCAGAGTATGGCCCATTGGACACATCTGATCCTAAACCTGTTTTTTTTTTTTTTTTTAATTTTCAATTATCTTTATATACAGAAGATCAATTTAGCATATATTAAGTAAATATTTCCACAGTTTACACCCACATAGAAACACAAAGTGTAAAATACTATTTGAGTACTAATTATAGCATTAATTAAACACCTAAGAGTAATTGTGTATTAATTACAGAGTTCAACCAATAGTTTTAAGTAGAACATAAAAAATACTAAAAGGGTAAAGTATTAAGTTCTTTTTTTCTTTTCTTTTTTTGTTTGTTATATAGTTTTTTTTTTATTTAATAAATGTGAATTTGCAAAGTGCAACTTGTGTATTGTTGTGGCTCCCCTCCCCCCAAACTTTCCTCCATCCCATGGCCCTCCCCTCTCCCACTCCCTCTCCCATCCTGCCCTTCATCGAGTTTCATTTTCAATTATCTTCATATACTGAAGATCAACTTAGTATATACTAAGCAAAGATTTCAATAGGCTGCACTCACACAACCGCACAAGGTATAGGGTATTGTTCGACTAGTAGTGTTGTTTTTAAGTTTCATAGTAAAACACGTTAAGGACAGAGATCCTACGTGGGGAGCATGTACCCAGTGACTCCCGTTGTTGATGAACAATTGGCACTCTTTATTTTTTTTTTTATTTTATTTTTTTGGCAGGCAGAGTGGATAGAGAGAGAGACAGAGAGAAAGGTCTTCCTTTGCCGTTGGTTCACCCTCCAATGGCCGCTGCGGCCGGCGCGCTGCGGCCGGAGCACCGCGCTGATCCGATGGCAGGAGCCAGGAGCCAGGTGCTTTTCCTGGTCTCCCATGGGGTGCAGGGCCCAAGCACCTGGGCCATCCTCCACTGCACTCCCTGGCCATAGCAGAGAGCTGGCCTGGAAGAGGGGCAACCGGGACAGAATCTGGCGCCCCAACCAGGACTAGAACCCGGTGTGCCGGTGCCGCTAGGTGGAGGATTAGCCTAGTGAGCTGCGGCGCCGGCCAATTGGCACTCTTATTTATGACGTCAGCAATCACCCGAGACTCTTGCTATGAGCTGTCTAGGCTATGGAAGCCCCTTGAGTTCACCGACTCTGAACTTGTTTAGTCAAGGCCATATCACAGTGGAGGTTCCTTCCTCTCTTCAGAGAAAGGCGTCTCTCTCCTTGATGGCCTGTTCCTTCTACTGGGGTCTTGTTCACCAGGATCTTTCATTTAGATTGTTTTTTGCCATTGTGTCATGGCTTTCCATGCCTGTGAGACTCTCATGGACCTTTTAGCCAGATCTGAATGTCCCAAGGCCTAAACCTGTTTTTGTAAATGATTTTATTGCAGCACAGCTGTATTCATTTGTTACCATTGTGAGTGTATGTGTGTGTGTGTCTTTCTTTGTGTCTGCTTACACACTATAAGGGCATAGTTGAATATTTACAAGAGACCCTCTGGCCCAAAGAGGCTAACTTTTCTTCACTTTTTCTTTAAGATTTATTTATTTGAAAGTCAGAGTTACAGAGAGAGAGGGGGAGACAGAGAGAGAGGTCTTCCATCTACTGGTTCACTCTCCCAAGTAGCGAAAGCCAGGAGCCAGGAGCTTTTTTTTTTTTTTTTAAACTTTTATTTAATGAATATAAATTTCCAAAGTACAGCTTATGGATTACAATGGCTCCCCCCCATAACTTCCCTCCCAGCCGCAACCCTCCCCTTTCCTGCTCCCTCTCCCCTTCCATTCACATCAAGATTCATTTTCAATTCTCTTTATATACAGAAGATCAGTTTAGCATATATTAAAGATTTCAACAGTTTGCACCCACATAGAAACACAAAGTACTGTTTGAGTACTAGTTATAGCATTAAATCAGAATGTACAGCACATTAAGGACAGCTATCCTTCATGAGGAGTAA